ATTATCATTATTATTATTATTATTATTATTACTATAATCATTATCATCATTATTATTATTATTATTATTATCATGATTATTATTATTATTACTATAATCATTATCATCATTATTATTATTATTATTATTATCATGATTATTATTATTATTCATATTATTATTATTAACACGATTATTCGTATTATTCATATTATTCATATTATTATTATTATTATTAGGGCCATGCTTTCAAACATTTTATTTCTTTTTAGTTTAGATCTCGAGATAACGAAACTTTGTTTTCCCGAGATAACGACATAATGAATTTGAGATCTCGAGATAATGACTGTGATATGATAACTGCGGTCAGGGCCGGCTCTAGCCCATTTGGTGCCCTAGCCGAGATCATTTCCGGTTTTCAAAATAAAGGTATTAAGAACAGTAAGCTAACATTTGAACCTACATTTAAAATAAAATATGCTACATTAAAGCGTTTCACGGCCCATGATGAATAAAAAACATACATATTTGTACCTCCAAGTGGCATCTTTTATTATATTTGAGCTACTGTAAAAACATATTGCTCAAAAATTCCTGGCCATGGATGGTATATTTGACTTCTACACATATAATACTACAAGTATACTTAATATCAACCATTTGTATTGCACCAATGTGGAGAAATTCAATAATAAAAGTCCATATCTATACCTCCAGATTCAATATTTGACCATATTTGAGCTACTGTAAAAACACATTGTTCAATAATTCCTGGCTATAGATGGTATATTTGACTTCTACACACATAAGACTACAAGTATACTTAATATCAAGCATTTCTACAGCAGCAATGTGGAGAAATTCAACAGTAAAAGTCCATATTCATATCTGTTTTACTGTAGCTCAAATATAATAAAAGATGCCACTTGGAGACACAAATATGGAACTTTTGTTTTGGCATTTCTCCACATTGGTGCAGTAAAATGTTTGATATTACATATGTTTTTTATTCATCATGGGCGACTGAAACACTTTAATGTAACATATTTTATTTTAAATGTCGGTTCGAATTATAGCTTACTGTTCTTGATACCTTTATTTTGAAAACCGGAAGTGAATATGTTGTAAATTTAAGTGCAGCTGATTTGACCCTGGAGATCGGAGTAACGGCTGGCTTGACCGCAGTTATCATATCACAGTCATTATCTCGAGATCTCAAATTAATTATATCGTTATCATGGGAAAACGGAGGAAATAAAATGTGGCCCTTTATGGCTTCCGTACTCATTATTATTATTATTATTATTATTATTATTATTATTATTATTATCATCATTATTATTATCATTATTGTTATTATTATTATTATTATCATTATTATCATTATTATTATTATTATCATTGTTGGTATTATTATAATATTATTATCATTATCATTATTGTTATTGTTATTATTATTATCATTGTTGGTATTATTATAATATTATTATCATTATCATTATTGTTATTATTATTATTATTATCATTGTTGGTATTATTATAATATTATTATCATCATCATCATTATGATTATTGCAGTCTCAGTGTACAGGTGCATACTGCCACCTGCTGTACTGGAGTAGAACTGCTTCCATGAGCAAAATAAATGAATAAAGAAAACAAAAACAAAGACTATATTCCCCTAAACAATCCTATTAATAAATGTATCATCTGTGTGTGACATACTGTCTCTTCACTGTATTTGATAGATTCACCATTAACACTGTTTATTTAACATCTATCCCCAATCTCTGATTTCTGCCTACATGTTGAATCAGCGCCCCCTACTGGCAGAGAGGAGAACTGTTCAGGATGTGTCAGTGTGTCAGTGAGCAGACGCCAGTTGAAGAGTGTATACAGATTTTTATTTGTAATATTTTGGAATCATACAACATAAATAAAAGTTTTTGTTACAATAATGTTCTCATCAACACCAGAGCCATATATCAACAGGGTTCAATCAAAACCATAAACAGACATAACCCGGGTAACACCAACCCAGAGCCATATGTAACCAGGGTTACGCAGACCCAGAGCCATATGTAACCAGGGTTACGCAGACCCAGAGCCATATGTAACCAGGGTTACGCAGACCCAGAGACATATGTAACCAGGGTTACGCAGACCCAGAGACATATGTAACCAGGGTTACGCAGACCCAGAGCCATATGTAACCAGGGTTACGCAGACCCAGAGACATATGTAACCAGGGTTACGCCGACCCAAAGCCATATATCAGCAGGGTTACACACACACACCCAGAGCCATATGTAATCGGGGTTACACCGACCCAGAGCCATATATCAGCAGGGTTAGGTTGGTTCCTGGTCTAATGTGGTTCTGATGGTGGAACATGATTGTCTCTCTCTGTGTGCTTCACAACAACAACAACAACAACAACAACAACAACAACAACATCAACACTGAGAACAACTGAAGGAATAAATATTCTTCTCCCTGCTTCCTCCTCCTTTATTTACATTATTAACAGCTCGCCTCAACCTCGGCCCAAAACTCAACCAGCAGGCAGCATCACCCGAACAAACCAGCAGGAACACAGAAACCACAACCTGAAGGGGGACCAGGGTCACACATTTGGGACTACATTAGCTAGCTAGTTAGCTAGCATTTTGCTAACATTCGCTTTCAGATGTAACTAGCTAGCTAACAATTGATGTAAATTAGCTAACTGACAATTGACGTGGATTTGCTAACAAGCTAACTAACAACTGAAGCAGATTAGCTAACATTTATCATTGGTTAATAGCAAAACGCTAGCAAAGTAGTTAGCTTATTTACATCAATAGTTAGTTAGCTCAACTTTATAATTTTATTCAGTGATTTTGGCATAACAGAATCGAACACAGCCTTCGAGACCGACAGGGAATAACGTTACAGTACCGAGGTCATTTACAGAGTTTCCTGATGGAAAGATTGATCAGTAGCCAACTGCTAACTGTCGTTAGCTTGGTCAGCCGTGCAGCTAAGATATTAATATTAATAATAATGTTACTCATAACAACATTATTATTAATAATATTAATAAATTCTTCTTGTTCTCTGCTGCCTTTCGGTCACACTCTACGCTGATGACACTTACTAACTTACTTACTAAGCCCCGCCCCCTGTGGTTACTGTTGCTAACCTGTTGATTGTTCATTCTGCGATGTTACGTAATAGAGTTGACGCAGGGCTGATCCAGTTTCACTGAATAAAGTTAAAATACATCAGTGAAACTCATTTAGTCTCAGTTGTGGTCAATAAACAGTAAATATTCAGATTCATATGGTCCAAGCTAACGGACAGTGGGCTTTAAGGGCGGGGCCATTTTCAGACAGGATGAAATGATCTGTAGACAGGCGGTGAACGTATGGAGCCTTATGTAGACTCACTGCTGGAGCCTCTAGTGGCCGTTCGGGCTGGATTAATTTACTGTGGGTGAGACATGCTAACAGTAGCAGCCATTGCTGCGCTCTGATTGGACAGTCAGTGATATTGATCAACTAGATTAATTAGCACTCATTTAAACCTGACGATGGTGCTGAGCTATGACGTCATGCTGTGCTTCGACCAATCAGATGTGAGGAGTGAAAATCTGAACGCAACCTGAGAATTGACTGTTTAATTTGACGTATTTGACTTTTGGACGTGGTCCAGACTTCATATCCCATCATGCCCTCAACAGGAGCACAGCCCAGTGGATCCTCTGTGTGTTCTGATTGGTTGTTGAACAGGAAGTTCAGGTGGCTCCTGGGAGCTGGATGGGATGCTCCACTCTGACGCAGAAACAGAAACCTGTGTTTGTGTTCATTGTGACAGTTCAGTGTGTCCAACAAGGCAGTGCAAAACATCCTCCTCTTCTTCCTCACTTCACCTCCACCACTCCTCCTCTTCCTCCTAAGCCTCAGTCAATAGTCGACCTCCTCCTCCTCCTCCTCCTCCTGTCACACTGTGCAGTATTATGACTGAGGGAGGAAGAAGAGGGCGAAGGAGCCTCTGTTGTTAAGCAGAGTTGAGATACTCCAGAGCCACTTCATAACAGAACTTATACTGCTCCTGTAGAGACACAGAGGGCAGAGGTCAGACAACAACAACAGCAACAACAACAACAACAACAACAACAGTATTAACTGTAGAGACACAGAGGGCAGAGGGCAGACAACAACAACAGCAACAACAACAACAACAACAACAACGACAACAGTATTAACTGTAGAGACAGAGGGCAGAGGGCAGACAACAACAACAACAACAACAACAACAACAACAGTATTAACTGTAGAGACACAGAGGGCAGAGGGCAGACAACAACAACAACAACAACAACAACAATGATATTAATAAAGTTACCAGCAGATCCACCATGTTGGGTTTGTTGTTCCTCAGAGTTTTAACAGCGTGAAAAACGTCAACGCAGCGCTGCTGTCTCAACATCTCACACACAATACTGATACTGCAGAACACCCCACTGCGACCTCCTCCGTTACTGCAGGAGGAGACAGACAGGAGGAGACAGAGAGGAGACAGAGAGGAGACAGAGAGGAGGAGACAGAGAGGAGGAGACAGACAGGAGGAGACAGACAGGAGGAGACAGACAGGAGACAGACAGGAGGAGACAGAGAGAAGAAAGAGAGGAGGAGACAGAGAGGAGGAGACAGACAGGAGGAGACAGACAGGAGACAGAGAGGAGGAGACAGACAGGAGGAGACAGACAGGAGGAGACAGACAGGAGGAGACAGAGAGGAGACAGACAGGAGGAGACAGAGAGGAGACAGACAGGAGGAGACAGAGAGAAGAAAGAAAGGAGGAGACAGAGAGGAGAAAGAGAGGAGGAGACAGTATGTTGTTTCAGTTTCTCACCAGCAGATGGAGACAAACTATCAGTGATGAAAGAAAACAATCAGCTCAAAATCATTATAATGCAGTATCAGTAGTATTATAATGCAGTATCAGTAGTATTATAATGCAGTATCAGTAGTATTATAATGCAGTATCAGTAGTATTATAATGCAGTATCAGTAGTATTATAATGCAGTAGTATTATAATGCAGTATCAGTAGTATTATAATGCAGTATCAGTAGTATTATAATGCAGTAGTATTATAATGCAGTATCAGTAGTATTATAATGCAGTAGTATTATAATGCAGTAGTATTATAATGCAGTATCAGTAGTATTATAATGCAGTAGTATTATAATGCAGTAGTATTATAATGCAGTAGTATTATAATGCAGTATCAGTAGTATTATAATGCAGTAGTATTATAATGCAGTAGTATTATAATGCAGTATCAGTAGTATTATAATGCAGTATCAGTAGTATTATAATGCAGTAGTAATATAATGCAGTAGTAATATAATGCAGTATCAGTAGTATTATAATGCAGTAGTAATATAATGCAGTAGTATTATAAAGCAGTAGTATTATAATGCAGTAGTATTATAATGCAGTAGTATTATAATGCAGTATCAGTAGTATTATAATGCAGTATCAGTAGTATTATAATGCAGTAGTATTATAATGCAGTATCAGTAGTATTATAATGCAGTATCAGTAGTATTATAATGCAGTAGTATTATAATGCAGTATCAGTAGTATTATAATGCAGTATCAGTAGTATTATAATGCAGTAGTATTATAATGCAGTATCAGTAGTATTATAATGCAGTAGTATTATAATGCAGTATCAGTAGCATCAGTACTACGTACAGGCAGTGGACCACCGTGCGGCCCTCCCCTCCGTCGTACTCCTCCTGCCATTTGTCCACCTGGTGAACCAGTTTAAGGAAGGAGCGCTTGGAGACGGGCGTGTCCCGGTACATCGGCCAGCCCAGGAACTGGAACTGCTGCACCATGCGGTACCCGTCCTGCGGCTGTGGACACAGGGAGGACAGGGTGGTCAAAACAAGCTCACCCTAACCTTACCTCAGCTCTGCCAGCTAACGCCTGGGAAGGAGGTGAAAATCAAACACACCCTAAAGGAGTGTGGAAGAAAAGGGAGGCCTGAAACAGCATAACAGGATGGAGATAAGGATAGGAGGTGGAACAGAGAGCAGAGGAGGTAAGAGAGGAAAGGAAAGAAGGAAGTAGGAATAAAGGAGGTAAGAGAGAAACAGAGCGAAGGAGTGGGAGGAGAAAGTGTTGGGGGGGAGTGAAGTACGGAAGATAAACAAATCCTAACATAAATGCAAGCTGACAGGGAGGAGAGAGGGTTCAAATCAAACGCACTGAAAGCTAAATCCGACCTGCCATGGTGAGGCGGGTGGGGAGGGGAGTCGGGATCAAACACATCCCAAATGTTGAGAGACACAGGGAGGAAATGAGGCACAAATCAAACGGCACATGACCTAAACTCAGCCCGACAGGGAGGTGAAGAGGTTTAAATCAAACGCAGTCTGATCTAAATTTGGTGGAACAGGAAAGAAATGGAGGTTTGGATCAAACACACCCTGAATACTGAGGGCGTAAAGGGGGTCAAAATCAAACACACCCTGAATACTGAGGGCGTAAAGGGGGTCTAAATCAAACACACCCTGAATACTGAGGGCGTAAAGGGGGTCAAAATCAAACACACCCTGAATACTGAGGGCGATAAGGGGGTCAAAATCAAACACACCCTGAATACTGAGGGCGTAAAGGGGGTCAAAATCAAACACACCCTGAATACTGAGGGCGTAAAGGGGGTCAAAATCAAACACACCCTGAATACTGAGGGCGTAAAGGGGGTCAAAGTCAAACACACCCTGGACTGAAAGAGCTGGATTCAGTTGTGCTAACTCTGCTAACTCTGTGTGCTAACTCTGTGTGCTAACTCTGTGTGCTAACTCTGCTAACTCTGTGTGCTAACTCTGTGTGCTAACACTGCTAACTCTGTGTGCTAACACTGCTAACTCTGTGCTAACAGCCTCCCTAGCTGATAGCGTCTGTGGTCAGCAGTAAAAACAACAGACATTGGCACAAACAAGCTAATGCTCGTTCCTAGTGACTTCTACTAATAACAGCTAGCATCAGCAAACACAAGCTAACACTTACTAATATCAACCAGGTGACAACACGGACACCGTTAGCTACAAGCTAACTACCGACAGTAGCAACCTAGCATAATGCAAAGCTGTTAGAGTTTGTGCTAACGTTAGCAGTTCTTTCTGTATTCAATTCGGGGAACTTTTCAGTCCAACAAAGCTAACATCCATTTTTAATTATACAGTCTATGGTAACATCATTCAGCTAGCATCAGCTAGCATCAGCTAGCATCAGCTAGCATCAGCTAATAATATTTGATGACAGTAGTTGCTATTAGTTCACCAAAACAAAGAGCTCATACACAGCAGTATCTTCGGTTGCTAATATCCAACACGTCTAAAAGAAGTTATTTATTTGGTGGTGGTCATAGCAACGTGAACCCTGAAGGGAGGTGGCAGAGTGTAAAAGAAGCGCACCCTGGCTGTGTTGTAGATCCGGAAGATGCGACTGATGACGTCCTCCTCCAGATCTGCAGAGACAAACTCCACCTGCAGGGAGCCCAGACGATGGAGGCCGTTCTCCGGCCAGTACTGAGGACACAGCTGGGACACACAGACGACATCATCATCATCATCATCATCATTATTATTGATAAACATACACACTTGGTCCAATAACAGGAAACGATGAGCACGTGCTTCCTAACGAACATGAGCCCAAACAGCCAGATGGTGGCGCCGACTCAAACATCCAACTGTGTGTAGTGTAAACATAAAGTCTCCTCCTTCTGTGGATCATCATCAGGAGGAGCTGATCAATAGCTGCATAAAGCTTATTGATAACTTATTTAGTGTTCAACATATTGACCAATGAGCTTCAGAGAGGGCGTGGCTCCGCACATAAGCAGACAGAAGTGAACAGCACTCACAGGATATGTCCATATAAGGACCTGACACACTGCAGGGAGGAAACACACAATCAGAAAGATTGATATATTTCACTGATCAGATGATCAATATGTGTACCTGAGCCGGGTCCACATCGTTCAGCATGACGATGGACGTGCAGTGGTAGTCGAGGACCAGGCGCCAGAAGTCCTTCACTGTGTTGGGCAAAGGATGCTGGGTAACGATGAATGCTGACGGCTGCTTGTAGCTCTGTTAACACACGCACACACACAGGCTGTAACTCACTTCCTGTTCTCTTAGAGCATCATGGGAACTGTAGTTGTCAGTATTGAGAAGTGACGGTCATGTGGTGTGTGTGGGGTGCGTTCCATACGTCCATGAGCGCAGCGTTGATGTAGTTGGAGCTCTCTCCGTCAATGGTGATGAGGAACGGCAGGCAGCGGTCCGGAGGAAGAACGTCCATACAACGGTTCTTCTCGTGGTTCCTCGGCAACAGAGCGATGCTGCAGTCCTCCACCCGCAGCGTGGGCGTCACCATGTTCAGAGTCTGATCAATAATCAATCAGTAACCAATATCAATATTAATAACAAATATTAACACAGCGTGGGCGTCACCATGTTCAGAGTCTGATCAATAATCAATCAGTAACCAATATCAATATTAATAACAAATATTAACACAGCGTGGGCGTCACCATGTTCAGAGTCTGATCAATAATCAATCAGTAACCAATATCAATATTAATAACAAATATTAACACAGCGTGGGCGTCACCATGTTCAGAGTCTGATCAATAATCAATCAGTAACCAATATCAATATTAATAACAAATATTAACACAGCGTGGGCGTCACCATGTTCAGAGTCTGATCAATAATCAATCAGTAACCAATATCAATATTAATAACAAATATTAACACAGCGTGGGCGTCACCATGTTCAGAGTCTGATCAATAATCAATCAGTAACCAATATCAATATTAATAAGAAATATTAACACAGCTTGGGCGTCACCATGTTCAGAGTCTGATCAATAATCAATCAAAAACCAATATCAATATCAATAACAAATATTAATACAGCGTGGGCGTCACCATGTTCAGAGTCTGATCAATAATCAATCAGTAACCAATATCAATATTAATAACAAATATTAACACAGCGTGGGCGTCACCATGTTCAAGGTCTGATCAATAATCAAGATCAAAATTCAATCTGAGAACACACACACCGATACTATTATCAATATTAATATTATTGTCATTATCATCAATATTAATATAAATATTATCAGTATTATTACCAATAAATATCAATACCAGTACGCACAAACACTCTGATCAGTTTCAACCAATCTATTGGTAACTATTAATTAGTCTTGATCAGCTTTTTTTAGCCCCAATCTGATCAGAGTCATTAGATATTGATTATCTGCCGATACTGAGTCCTGATCAGATAATACAGAGCGCACAGCAAGTATAAAATTATTATAATCAATGCAGTCATTGATAATCAATCAGCTCTGTCCTTCCTGTTATTGATTGAGCAAATAACAATCTCAGTGTTAGCTGTCAGTTATTGATTGGCTTTAGTTGGCCCTGCAGTGTCTGATCTCTACCACTGTCTCTCCTGAGCAGGAAGCCCCGCCCACTGTGACACTGCGCAGTGGGCGGGGCTTCCTGCTCTCACACACACACACACACACACACACACCCATACACACACACACTCACACACACACACACACACACCCACCCACACACACACCCATACACACACACACACACACACACACACACACACACACAGCTGATGGATCAGAGCGGTACCAATCAATCAAAATGCATTGATCAGTTCCAATGTTGAACATTGAGATCAGACAGGGGCATCTCTAACGTTACTAAATATGTATTAATGGTTTATAACTAATTAATTAATGTTAATAAATATGTAATAATGGTTTATAACTGATTATTAACATTAATAAATATGTATTAATGGTTTATAACTGATTATTAACGTTAATAAATATGTAATAATGTTTATAACTGATTATTAACATTAATAAATATGTATTAATGGTTTATAACTGATTATTAACATTAACAAATAGTATTAATGGTTTATAACTGATTAATTAACGTTACTAAATATGTATTAATGGTTTATAACTGATTAATCAATGTTAATAAATATGTAATAATGGTTTAAAACTGATTATTAACATTAATAAATATGTATTAATGGTTTATAACTGATTAATTAACGTTAATAAATATGTATTAATGCTTTATAACTGATTAATAAACGTTAATAAATATGTATTAATGCTTTATAACTGATTAATTAACGTTAATAAATATGTAATAATGTTTATAACTGATTATTAACATTAATAAATAGTATTAATGGTTTATAACTGATTAATTAACGTTAATAAATATGTATTAATGGTTTATAACTGATTTGTTAACATTAATGAATATGTAATAACACATTTATAAAGCGTGAGCTAATAGAAAGAACAATCATTTAATATTGATTATTATTGATCAATGATCCGCTCACTGACATCCGCTGATGGGGATCAATAAATGGATCAATACGTTACCCTGAACTCCTCTTTGATCTGACTGGAGTTGGTCTGAGGATCCAATCGGTTCATCTCGTAGTAAACAGAGCGCAGCTGATTGGCCGGAACCGCCGTGTCACCGCAGAGACACGCCTCCAAGATGGCGTCATGGATGAACACATACTGCTCCTGGAGGAGTAAAAGAGACACTGTTCACCTCATCACCTCCTCCTCATCATCACCTCATCACCTCCTCTTCATCATCATATCATCACCTCCTCCTCATGGTCACCTCCTCACCTCCTTCTCATCATCATCTCCTTCTCATCACCTTCTCATCATTACCTTATCACCTCCTCCTCCTCCTCACCCTCCTGCTCCTGTTCCTTTGGGGTTTGATTGACAGGAGGAGTGTTGCTGAAATGTCACTTCATAAATGATTTATGTCAACATACAGAGGAGGAGGAGGAGGAGGAGGAGGAGGAGGAGAAGGAGGAGTGACATTACAGGTTTGACAGTGAAGGTCATTCTGTCACATCCTGTCTGTCACACAACAAATAAACAGTCAACTGTTTGATGTTGTTTACTCCACCGAGACAAACAAACAAACAAACAAACAAACCCTGTAGAGTGTGAACCAATCAGCAGGCTGCAGTTCCCCTAACGGCCACTAGAGGCTCCACATTATATTCTATATATATTCTATATATTATATTTTACATATTTTATTGTAAATATTATATTATATGTATTCTATTCTATATATTCTATTCTATATTATATTCTGTATATTCTATATATTCTATTCTATATATTTTATTCTATATATTATATATATATTTAATATATTATATTCTATATTATATCCTAAATATTCCTTATATTATATTCTATATATTCTTTATATTAAATTCTATATTATATTCTATATATTATATTATATTTTATATTCTATATATTATTAGGGATCGAGAACTGAAAGTGCAAGGACCCTATTGTTCCTCTAGGAATTATTATAATACCTCTGGGACTTCGACCGCATATTTGGCCCCCGCAACATGCTCAAAATACCATGAAAATTTGCAAATTTTTTTGGACCCATGCCCCAAAATCCCACAGGAAGTCTGCAATTTCAATTTTTAATTTTCACTCACGGCGTCCATTTTGTGGTCATTTTGACTTTTTGGGCTTGTATTTAACTCCTCCTAGGGAATTTCTGGGATCTGCTTCAAAATTGGTCAGTACAGTCACAACATGGTGCTGAATGAACGCTGTTCATTTTTTCACTGTACGTTGAAGGGCGTGTCCGTGGCGTGCCGTCAAAGTTGGCCATTTTGAACGAATGTCACATTGTGATGTCCTTTTTGGCATTTCAGGGCTTCTATTTTAACTAACTCCTCCTACAGGTTCTATTGGATCTACTTCAAAATTGGTCAGTGCAGTCAGTTTTTTTCGTCCAACATTGTGCCCGTGGCGTGGCGTCCCGTGGCATCCAATTTCAAACCTTCGCCATGAAAGAGGGATTCATCATAACTTCTGCGTACATGATCCGACTGCAACGAAACTTCACATGTTCAATAAGAGTCCCGCCCTGAACACGTCTATGTGATAATATTCAGTAAAAGTGAGAGCGCCACCTAGTGGTGAAAGGAAATGTCATTTTTTTATACTTTCATGTTCTACTCCTAGCAGGATGATCAGATCCAGCTGAAATTTACTTACGAAATGCAAAACACATTGTTGATGATATGTGTTGACTGCGGTGAGGGGGCGTGTCTGTGGCGTGGCAGAAATTTTGATGTACCGCCACGAAACACGAATTCGCTATAACTTGAGTGTACATTGTCCAATCGGCTCCAAACTTCACATGTCTGATAAGAGTCCCGCCCTGAACACATAGTGATAGCGCCACCTAGTGGCAACAGGAAGTAAGTGCTGCGTGGTGATTTTGAGCTGATTTACGTGAGATTTTCATGTTGTGGTCCGCACGTGTTACGACGGCACGTGACGCGGCCGCAGCACGCCCCGAGTTGCGTGGAGTGCGAGTTCCTGTCCATCGCTGCTTGCAGCTTTAATATTCTATATATTCCTCGTACTCTATTCTATATATTCTTTATATTCTATTCTATATATTAAATTCTATATTATGTTCTATATATTCTATTCTATATATTCTTTATATTCTATTCTATATATTAAATTCTATATTATGTTCTATATATTCTATTCTATATATTCTTTATATTCTATTCTATATATTAAATTCTATATTATGTTCTATATATTCTATTCTATATATTCTATATATTATATTCTATACATTCCTTATATTCTATCTATTCTATTCTATTCTATATTATAAGTTCATTAAAGTTATAAATGATTAAAACCCTCACACAGAATACGGACTGCTAACTGTTAGCATATTGTTAGCTTAACTTGGAGCTGTTAGTTAGCACATTGTGGGAGTCGCCCTGGATGCTAATGTTAGCAGCTAATGTTAATGTGTGTGTGTACCTCAGTTTGGACCATGTTAACCCTTCGTGCTCTCAGCTCTCGGACGCAGTTGTAGATGTCGACCACGCCCTCTCTCTCTGCCATGTCCAGCATGATGTCGATCACAATGAAGCAGCCTGTACGCCCCGCCCCCGCACTGACACACACACACACACACACACACACACACACACACACACACACACACAGCTGGATTAGGGACATATATGTATGGATATGGCCGTGATGTGATCAATATTAGTGATCAGGTAAGTACCTGCAGTGGACCACGGTGGGGCCGGCAGTGGGCGGGGTCTTTGCTTTGACACGGCGGATGAAACCCAGCAGGCCGGTGGCGTGTAGCGGCACGCCATGATCAGGCCAACCAGTGAAATGAAACTGACGGATCTCTCTGATCTCTGCCACGCCCCTCTGACAGACAGACAGACAGAGAGAGAAAGACAGACAGAGAGAGAGACAGACAGATACAGAGAGAGAGACAGATATATAGAGAGACAGACAGATAGACAGATACAGAGAGAGAGACAGACAGATATATATAGAGAGACAGACAGATAGACAGATACAGAGAGAGAGACAGACAGACAGATAGAGAGACAGACAGACAGATAGACAGACAGATACAGAGAGAGACAGACAGATAGAGACAGACAGACAGACTTATTTTCAGCTGATTGTACAGTAATGAAAACAATCTGAATATTAATATAATAATGAATATGATGTTACAGTAGTGTGACACATTGGAGCTTTAATGTGATTTCAGTTGTATTAACAGAGAGAGAAGAAAAGGAGGACAGAGGTTAATTAGCTGATCAATATTATGGGCCTATCAGAGACATATTGGTATTCAGTATGTGTAATGTGTATGTGTGTATCTGTAATAGCTGTAATGGTGTCTGTCAGTGCTCAGTTGGTCCAGTAGGGTGTGCTGTGGTACAGTGTGAGGCAGCAGCAGAAGCAGCATTGTTAAAGGTTCAATAGAAGAGAAACACTCTCAGTGAACATCAGTTAATAATCAGTGGATGATCGACTAATACATCAGCTGATTATCATTTTATTTTAACTTAATGTTCTTTTTGTTGTTGCTGTACACACTGAGCTGTATTACACTGTACTGTATTACACTGTACTGTATTACACTGTACTGTATTACACTGTACTGTATTACACTGTATTGTATTACAGTGTAATACAGTACAGTGTAATACAGTACAGTGTAATACAGTACTGTATTAAACTGTACTGTATTACACTGTACTGTACTGTATTACACTGTACTGTATTACACTGTACTGTATTACACTGTACTGTATTACACTGTACTGTATTACACTGTACTGTATTAAACTGTACTGTATTACATTGTACTGTACTACACTGTACTACACTGTACTGTATAACACTGTATTACACTGTACTGTACTGTATAACACTGTATTACACTGTACTGTACTGTTGTACACTGTACTCTATTACACTGTATTACACTGTACTGTATTACACTGTACTGTACTGTATTACACTGTACTGTATTACACTGTACTGTACTGTATTACACTGTATTACACTGTACTGTATTACACTGTACTGTATAACACTTTACTGTATTAGACTGCACTGTATAACACCGTACTGCACTGTATTACACTGTACTGTATTACACTGTATTACACTGTACTGTACTACACTGTACTGTATAACACTGTACTGTATTACACCGTACTGTATAACACTTTACAGTATTACACTGTACTGTATTACACTGTACTACACTGTACTGTACTACACTGTTCAGTATAACACTGTACTGTATAACACTGTACTGTACTACACTGTACTGTATTACACTGTACTCTATTACATTGTATTACACTGTACTGTATTGTATTACACTGTACTGTACTGTATTACACTGTACTCTATTACATTGTATTACACTGTACTGTATTGTATTACACTGTACTGTACTGTATTACACTGTACTGTATTACACTGTACTGTACTGTACTACACTGTT